ATTTGGGAGTTGTTATTGCAGGGATTTATAGTGCATCTACAATCAAAGAGCATTCTGAACTCCACCAACAATGGAATTGAACCAAACTTGGCACATAGAACTCCTGTGACCAACAGAAAATACTGGAAGGGTTTGGTGAACAATGAACTTGAGTTTTGGAGTTGTAGTTCACATACATCCAGAGAGCACTGTGGGCTCAAACAATGATAGATCTGGACCAAACTTGGTATGAATACTCAATATGCCCAAATGTGAACACTGGTGGAGTCTGGAGAAAATAGACCTTGGCATTAGGGAGTGGTAGTTGCTGGGATTGATAGTTTACCTACAATCACAGCAGGAGGAGGGCTTTTGGTGGAAGGATTCGCTGTCTGTTTCCAAAAGGGGTTTTTTCTAAGACTATCAGAAATATGTGTCTTCTGATGGTCTTTCGCGACCCCTCTGAAACCCCCTTATGACCCCCCTGGGGGTCCCGACCCCCAGGTTGAGAAACGCTGCTATAGAGACTTCTATCATGACACATGTGCAGTTTCAGTGTCCTGGGATAAATAGAAGTGGGTCAGGGGAAACCTTTTTTTTTAGGATGCTCAAAACCAACTTTTATTGAAACACATAAACCAAGAACTCTTTGCAATTCATTAGATACACATACAAAGGGACTTTCCCCCATTTGCAAAACTTTTCCCAGACTTCACAACCTACACGTTGGACTCTCTTCTACTCCTCCTTTCAAAGTTCCCCCAAAAATTCATCGAAACAGGAAAGGAACATGAACAACGCTGTCTTTTTCTCTTGGGCTGGTCTACATTCCCATATCATGGAGTGACACTGACAGGCTTCAAACTGAGATGGTGGTTGGGTATCTGGGCTTTGGAAGGTGTCACTCCAAAACCTCGAAAGTCTCCAAAAGTTAGTATTCAAACTTAGATGGCGGTTGTATATCTGGATTTGGAAGATGTTAGTCCAAAAACTCCAAAGTCTCCAAAACTTAGGATTCAAACTTAGATGATGATTGTGTATCTGGGCAAACTTAGATGGTGGTGTGTATCTGGCTTTGGAAGGTGTCAGTCCAAAACCTCAAAAGTCTCCAAAACTCAAACTTAGATGGTGGTTGTGTATCTGGGCACACACCCGCCATCTAAGTTTGCCCAGATACACAACCACCATCTAAATTTTGGAGACTTTTGAGGTTTTGGACTGACACCTTCCAAAGCCAGATACACACCACCATCAAAGTTTGCCTAGATACACAGTCACCATCTAAGTTTGAGTACTAAGTTTTGGAGACTTTTGGGGTTTTTTGGACTGACACCTTCCAAAGCCAGATACACACCCGCCATCTAAGTTTGCCCAGATACACAACCACCATCTAAATTTTGGAGACTTTTGAGGTTTTGGACTGACACCTTCCAAAGCCAGATACACACCACCATCAAAGTTTGCCTAGATACACAGTCACCATCTAAGTTTGAGTACTAAGTTTTGGAGACTTTTGGGGTTTTTTGGACTGACACCTTCCAAAGCCAGATACACACCCGCCATCTAAGTTTGCCCAGATACACAACCACCATCTAAATTTTGGAGACTTTTGAGGTTTTGGACTGACACCTTCCAAAGCCAGATACACACCACCATCAAAGTTTGCCTAGATACACAGTCACCATCTAAGTTTGAGTACTAAGTTTTGGAGACTTTTGGGGTTTTTTGGACTGACACCTTCCAAAGCCAGATACACACCCGCCATCTAAGTTTGCCCAGATACACAACCACCATCTAAATTTTGGAGACTTTTGAGGTTTTGGACTGACACCTTCCAAAGCCAGATACACACCACCATCAAAGTTTGCCTAGATACACAGTCACCATCTAAGTTTGAGTACTAAGTTTTGGAGACTTTTGGGGTTTTTTGGACTGACACCTTCCAAAGCCAGATACACACCCGCCATCTAAGTTTGCCCAGATACACAACCACCATCTAAATTTTGGAGACTTTTGAGGTTTTGGACTGACACCTTCCAAAGCCAGATACACACCACCATCAAAGTTTGCCTAGATACACAGTCACCATCTAAGTTTGAGTACTAAGTTTTGGAGACTTTTGGGGTTTTTTGGACTGACACCTTCCAAAGCCAGATACACACCCGCCATCTAAGTTTGCCCAGATACACAACCACCATCTAAATTTTGGAGACTTTTGAGGTTTTGGACTGACACCTTCCAAAGCCAGATACACACCACCATCAAAGTTTGCCTAGATACACAGTCACCATCTAAGTTTGAGTACTAAGTTTTGGAGACTTTTGGGGTTTTTTGGACTGACACCTTCCAAAGCCACATACACAACTGCCTTCTAAGTTTAAGTTTTGGGTCAGGGGAAACCTTTAATGAATGCCCCTCCTACTGTGTGGATGGGCCCTGTGTTTCACTCCTGTGTTCTTTGTATACATTGTTTCCTCTGTTTTGCAAGCAAGCTTTGAGTGGTTTAGACAGTTGGAGGAAATGTCCTTCCCTCTTCCAAGAATTCCTTCTCCATCCTCACCTCCTCCTCCTCTCTCCAAGTCCATGGCTAGGCTTTTTCGGAGTTTGTTAAGATGATGCATTCCAGGGGCATGAGCTCTTCGAAATGGGTTGCGTCCAAACTTCTTTGTTGGTCTCCTATCATGGCAACGAGGGTGACTCCATCCTTTCCAAGGCAAGGCTTTGTCTGATCCGGAAGGTGCTATCATTGCACCGCAGCTTTCAAAAATCCCCGTTTCGACTTGCAGACGGAGGTGTCTTGTAGGGCCCTTCCACACAGACATATAACCCAGAATATCAAGGCAGAAAATCCCACAATATTGGCTTTGAATTAGGTTTATTTATTTTATTATTTTTTTACTTTATTTCTATACCGCTTTTCTCAGCCCTTAGGCGACTCAAAGCAGTTTACACAACAATGCAAAATATCACAAAACAGTATAATGCAATTAAAACAGATTATAACATCAACAATTAACAACAGTATAACAATCATAACGCCTCAACAATAAAATCAGAATCCACTCTCATTATCCATTGTTCCGTATTCCTATGTTCAATTTCACTGTTTAGTCAAACGCTTGTTTGAATAGCCAGGTCTTCACCTTCCTCCGAAACGCCAACAGCGAAGGGGCCGATCTGATGTCTGCAGGTAGGGCATTTCACAGCTGAGGGGCCACCACTGAGAGGGCCCTGTCTCTCGTCCCTGCCAGGCGTGCCTGCAATGCAGGCGGGACCAAGAGCAGGGCCTCCCCAGATGATCTTAGTGTCCTAGTTGGTTCATAGGAGGAGATGCGTTCGGAGAGGTAAGTAGGGCCAGAACCGTTTAGGGCTTTATAGGCTAACGCCAGCACTTTGAATTGTGCCCGGTAGCAAACTGGCAGCCAGTGGAGCTGGCGCAACAGAGGAGTTGTATGCTCCCTGAGTGCCACTCCTGTTAGCAACCTGGCTGCCGAGCGCTGGACCATTTGAAGCTTCCAAGCAGTCTTCAAAGGCAACCCCACGTAGAGAGCGTTGCAGTAGTCTAAGCGGGATGTAACCAGAGCGTGGACCACCGTGGCCAAGTCAGACTTCCCAAGGTACGGGCGCAGTTGGCTGAATCCACACTGCCATATATTCCAGGTCAAAGCCAATAATGTGGGATTTTATTCAGCTGTGTGGAAGTGGCCTTAGATCAGTGGTTCTCAACCTTCCTAATGTCGTGACCCCTTAATACAGTTCCACACATTGTGGTGACCCCCAAACATAAAACTATTTTCATTACTACTTAACAACTGTAATTTTGCTCCTGTTATGAATCGTAAATATCTGATATGCAGGATGTATTTTTATTCACTGAACCAAATTTGGCACAAATACCCAATGTGCCCAAATTTGAATACTGGTAGAATATTCAATAGCTGGAGGAGACTGATTTTTTGCATTTGGGAGTTGTAGTTGTTGGGCTTTATAGTTCACTTCCAATCAAAAAGCATTCTAAACTCCACCAACAATGGAATTGAACCAAACTTGGCACAACAGCAAATACTGGAAGGGTTTGGTGGGCACTGATCTTGAGTTTAGAGTTGTAGTTCACCTACATCCAGAGAGCACTGTGGACTCAAACAATGATAGATCTGGACCAAACTTGGTACGAATACTCAATATGCCCAAATGTGAACATTGGTACAGTTTAGGAAAAATAGACCTTGGCATTTGGGATGTGTAGTTGCTGGGATTTATAGTTCACCTACAATCAAAGAGCATTCTGAACTCAACCAACTACCGCATTGGGGCAAACTTCCCACACAGAACTCCCAAGACCAACAGAAAATACTTAAGGCCATCCAGTCCAACTCCCTTCATCAGGGCAAGAAAACACCTACATCCAGAGAGCACTGTGGACTCAAGCAATGATGGATCTGGATGAAACTTAGCACAAAAACTCAATTTGCCCAAATGTGAACATTGGTACAGTTTGGGAAAAATAAACCTTGGCATTTGGGAGGTGTAGTTGCTGGGATTTATAGTTCACCTACAATCAAAGAACATTCTGAACCCCACCAATGATAGAATTGGGCCAAACTTCCCACACAGAACCTCCATGAGCAACAGAAAATACTGTGTTTTCTGATGGCTTTTGGTGACCCCTCTGACACCCGCTCACAACCCCCCAGGGGTCCCGACCTCCAGGTTGAGAACCACTGATCTAGAGCAAGCTTGCCCGTACAACAAACTTTAAATATTGATGGAATTTCTCAGGGTTAACTTGGCATGATGGGAGTTGTAGTTCAGCCACAACTTTATGCATTTCACACAATTAAAAATTACTTTTTCAAATAACCCGGGCAGTGCCAGGGACTCAACTTAGTTAGCAAACAAAATGCTTCCAGACAATACCTTTGTTGCTCATCTTTCTTGCAATATAGTTGCCTGACTTGGCAGCCCTGATGGTCTCACTTCTGTGTGGATCCATTCACGTTCCCTTTTCTCTTCCTTCCTAGGTTTCCAGCCATTATCTGATTTGTCTTCCTACGAAATTGTGGTCCCCAGGAGGATAACGAGAGAGCGCCGTGATCTGCCCAAAACCTCACAGGTATTTCAAGCTAAATGTCCTTTATGGTCAGGACAACTCCTGCCATAGGTTCCAATCAATGGGAAGCACGAAGAACGGAGGAATAAGCCTCTGAAACGGTGTCACTGGCGAGGAATCTAATCCAATTTGAGAAGATTATAGACACATTCGTGCATTTGTATTGCTTTCGGAGAAATATGGTTTTTGGATGTAATTATAAAATGGATTCTTCATCTGGGTTGCATCTACACTGTGGAATTAATGCATTTTGGCACCACTTTAACTTCCCTGGCTCAATGCTGTGGAGTCACTGGAATTGGAGTTTGGTGGGGCGCTCTTTGGCAGAGAAGGCTGAAAGAAGGCCTTGCAAAACTCTCAACTCTTATCATTCCATAGCGCAGAGCCCTGGCAACTAAAGTGGGGTCAAACTGCATTAATTCTATAGTATAGATCAGGTATAGGCAAACCCAGGCCCGGCTGTGGCCCCTTGGGCTGTTTCCCCAGGCCCTCCTCTCTCTCACCATCCTATCCTTCCATCCTTCTCTCTTTCCTTCCTCCTTGCCTCCCTCCCTTCCTTATTCCCTTCTTTTCTCTTTCCCTCCTCCTTCTTTCCCTTTCCTCCCTCTTCCCTTCTTTTTCTCCTTCCTTCCTTCCTTCCTTCCTTCTCCTTCCTTCCTTCCTCCTTCCTTCCTTCCTTCCTTCCTCTTTCTTCCCTCCCTTCCTTCTCCCTTCCCTTTCCCTTCCCTCCTACCCTACCCTACCCTACCCTACCCTACCCTACCCTACCCTACCCTACCCCTCCCTCCTCCACCCCTTTTGTTTTTTCTTCTTTCCCTTTTTCTTTTCTTTTTTCCTTCCTCCCTCCTCCCTCCTCTCCTTCTTTCCTTTTTTCCTTCCTTCCCTTTTGTCTTTCCATCCTTCTCTCTCCCTCCCTCCTCTTCCCTCTTTCTTTTTCCTTCCTTTCCTTCCTTCCTTCCTTCCCTTCCTTCTTCCTTCCTTCTTCCTTCCTTCCTTCCTTCCTTTTCTTTCCTTCCTCTTCCCTTCCTTCCTTCCCTTTTTTCCTTTTCTTCCTTCCTTCTTCCTTTTCCTTCCTTCCTTCCTTCCTTCCTTCCTTCCTTCCTTCCTTCCCCCCTCCCTCCCCCCCCCCCTCCCTCCCTCCTTTCTTCCTTTTTCCTCCTCCTCCTTCCTTCCTTCCTTCCTTCCTTCCTTCCTTCTTCCTTCCTTCCTTCCTTCCTTCTTTCTTTCTCTCCATCCATCCATCCATTGATCCATCCATCCATCCCTCCTCTTCCTCCCTTTATTCCTTCATTCATTCCTTCCTTCTCCTTTTCCTTCCTCCTTTCCTCCTGGGGGATGTTTACCTGAGAGAAGAGAAGGTCAAGAGGAAACAGGAGAACCATGTTTCCAGATTGCAATGGGGGTCCCATTGAGGGGGAGAACGGACTTTCTGCTGCTCTAGAGACCAGGGCACAAGAAGGGAGTTCAAATGGGTTCAAATGGCAGGGAAAGAGATTTGACTGAAACAACCAGGAAGAACTTCCTGAAGAGTGGCCTAGGCTGCCTGGGAATGTGGTGGAGCCTCCTTCTCTGGAGGCTTTTCTGCAGAGGCTATCTATCGGGAGTGCTTTGATTGTGCCTTCCTGCATGGCAGGGGATTGGACTGGATGGCCCTTGGGGGTCTCTTCCAGCTCTAGGATTCTATCTCAGGAGGAGGCAATATGGGGTCTCATGGAAACACTTTTCCTCTCTTGTCCACCATCTCATTGTGAGCAAGGCCAACCCTTTTGGGACCCAAACATTTTCTGCCTTTCCTTCACTTTCTGCCTCCAAAGGAGAAGAGGAAAGGTAGGAATGGGCAGGGAGGGAGAACCCCCAAGTTAGAAGGTTTGCCCAGGCCTGATGTAGATGCTCCTCTGGAGGAAAATAACTGCGCCAACTTGAAAGACTTGTGGGTGAAAACATTGGAGACGTTGGATGTTAATATTTTGTTTTCCTCCTCCTTCTTTTAAGGACACATTTTCCTACGTGATCGCCATCGAAGGAAAGGACCATACGCTGGTCCTAGAAAGAAACAGGTAAGTGGCTTGTTCGGATTTCCTTCCCCTGCAGTGGTTGTGTTTACTTACTTAGGCGATCCCTCGTTTTCCGAGGATGATTGTCTTCCAATATACTTGTGGGTCCGTATGTGGCTGTGGAGCCCCATTCTTGCTCTGCATCTTCTTCCGCAGTGAGGGCATCGGTTTCCAGACGGAAGGCGGTCCCGGTCGGAGTTGACTTGATGCGCCTTCCTCTTGGCACGTTTCTTTCTTTCACCCTCCATTCATGCCTCTTCAAATTCTGCAGCACTGCTGGTCACAGCTGACCTCCAGCTGGAGCGCTCAAGGGCCAGGGCTTCCCAGTTCTCAGTGTCTATGCCAGAGTTTTTAAGGTTGGCTTTGAGCCCATCTTTCAATCTCTTTTCCTGCCCACCAACATTCCGTTTTCCGTTCTTGAGTTCGGAGTAGAGCAACTGCTTTGGGAGACGGTGGTCGGGCATCCGGTTGTGTTTGGTGACCCAAGAAGGACGTAAAACATGAGTTACAGAAGTGCCAGCGAAGGAAACAATCGGATGAGTTTGACTTCCCCTCCCATCCTCTCGGCTTCCCTCCCAAACACCAGCAAAGCACTTTCGTGTTGGACGTTGTGATAACATTCAGACTTCCCAAAGCCAGAGGAAACACTTTTGCAAAGAGGATGTGGACATTCATCAGCAGCTCTCCTGTTAATAATAATAATAATAATAATAATAGTAATAATAATAATAATTTATTTATACCCCGCTACCATCTCCCCAAGGGACTCGGTGCGGCTTACATGAGGCCGAGCCCACAATACATCTATCTATGTATATAATAAAAGTCAGTGTTTGTATGTGGAGGGAGGTGTATGTGGCAGCGTTCTGATTGGCTGCCACTGTGGTACAATTTGCATATGGTCTCTGATTGGCCAGTTTCAACATTCCAAGGTAGCAGAGGTAAAAGGAAAGGGGGCTGAGGCTGTCAGTAATGGTTGGAGTTGAAGTCCAAAACACCTTGAAGCCCCCAACAAAGGCAGAACAAGACCAAACTTGGCACAAAGATCCCCTTCCCCCCAAGAACCACTCTACATCCTGGTGCAGTTTGAGGGAGGATGGACCATGGATGACGGGGCTTGCAGTACTTTAACTCACTTCCTTAGAACACTGTGGCTCACACCAATGACGGATCAGGACCAACCTTGGCACACAGAGGCCCAATGGCCCACTTTAAAACCTGGTGCAGTTTAGGGCAGGATGGGCCACAAATGATGGGATTTGCAGTACCTTCACCTGATTCACTTCCCACAGAACATTGTAGCCCCTACAAATCACAGACCAGACCCAAACTTGGCACAAGGAGTACTCATGACCCACTCTACATCCTGATGCAGTTCTAAGGGGGATGGACCATGGATGATGGGACTTGCAGTACCTTTACTCATTTACTGAAACCACTACGACCCTCATTCAATGACTGATAAAGACCAAACTTGGCACACAGAGCCCCCATGACCCCACTCTACATCCTGCTGCAGTTTGAAGAAGGATGGACCATGGATGATGGGACTTGCAGTACCTTCACTCACTTACTGAAACCACTGTGACCCTCATCCAATGACTGATAAAACCAAACTTGGCACAAGGAGTACTCATGACCCACTCTATATCCTGCTGCAGTTTGAAGAAGGATGGACCATGGATGATGGGACTTGCAGTACCTTCACTCACTTCCTGAAAACAATGCAACCATCATCCAATGACCAATAACGGCCAAACTTGTCATACAGAACCCCCATTACCCACTTTCTCTAATAACCCGGGCAGCACCGGGTCCCCAAGCTGGTCAGTAATAAAAGCAATAACAACAGTAATACAAAACAATAAAATAAAACTCATAACAGAAGATAAGCAATAAACATTAACAGTAACACGACGTTTAAAAACCTATGGCTGGGCCAAATGCAATAATTAAAATTTTTATTTTTTTTAATCTGTTGGCCATCTGATTTTAAAATAGGAATTTCGCTTGCATTTCTGGATGACAAATATTTTGAAACACCTCTTGGCAACGTTCTCTTAATTCGAGTTTCCAAAGTTTCGCTTTCCGCTATTATTCTCCCTTTTATCCATAAATGCCGCTTTAGGTTGGCTATTGGGAGCAGCAGGGTGGATCTACACTGTAGAATTAATGCAGTTTCACTCCGTTTTAGCTGCTATGGAATCCTGGGATCTGCAGTTTTGCAAGGTATTTCGCCTTCTCTGCTAAAGAGGGATGGTGTTGTGGTTCAGCCAGAGGCTGAAGATGAGGGGATGATTTAGTCAGAGGTTGTGAGGAATGATGGGCTTTTCGGTGTGGAAAATGAGGGGATTTTGGATCATGAATCTGTATAGGAAGATGAGTCTTTGTCTGGTCAGATAAGAACAGCTTCAGAGCAGAGAGGAGATGGAGATGCTTTGGCATCAGAAGATAAGGGAGACCTTTCTCCTGGTGGTTCCTTGGCAATGGAAGATAAGGAGCTGAAAGGGAAAGATCTTTCCCCTGGGAAAACACCTATGGTCAGTAGGAGTAGGAGACTCGGTTTACGGGGAGGAGGGAGTCAGATCACTTGGTGAGAAACCTGTGAAACAAACCAGTAAGAAATCCTTGAAACTGAGATGTCAAAGGCACGACATCATGGCTTGTGGACCTTAAATTACAGTGTTGTTTATTGAAAGGGTCAGAGCAGGCAACACTGCGTTAATGTGTACACCTTGGGTCTTGTTCTTCCACGTTGAAGTCTATGGCTAAGATCTGTGGGAAATTCTTGTGCTCATGTCCATGGATTCATGTTTTGAAAGAAGTTCCCATGCTCCTGGTTATGAATTTATGCCTGTGTCTTCATTCCTGGTTTTTTCATGCACCTTGTCACTTTTGAACGGAACTTTGCTGTTTGGACTGTTGCCTTTCGAAAGCCTTTTTTCCTATTGACTTTTGGACATTGCTTTTTATATTACCTTTTGCCTTTTTGTGTTTGCATTCTTCAATAAACTGTTTAGTTAGTACTACTGGACTCTTGTGTAGTGTTGGGTGCGAAGGGGAATTCAGGCCAGAGTGCAACAGCTGGTTCCTCACCATGTGTTGTGGCTTAGCTGGAGCCTCAGGAAGAGGATGATGGGTTTCAGATTCCTGAACATGTTCCTGTTGTTGATACAGATGATGCTGATGCTGAAGACGAGGAGTTTCAGTTTGCCATGGCAAGAGATGTTGTTTTAGAAGATGTTTCTGATCTTAGACAAACTTCACAGGTGCAGGCGGAGGAGGCGAGCCAGCCTGTGAACTCTCTGCCTGACGATTCTCAGTCTCATTACTCTAGAGAGGTAATGCTACCCCTCTATTCTGCTTTGGTTAGACCACACCTGGAATATTGTGTCCAATTCTGGGCACCACAATTCAAGAGAGATATTGACAAGCTGGAATGTGTCCAGAGGAGAGCGACTAAAATGATCAAGGGTCTGGAGAACAAGCCCTATGAGGAGCGGCTTAAGGAGCTGGGCATGTTTAGCCTGAAGAAGAGAAGGCTGGAGGAGATATGATGAGGGCCATGGATAAATATGTGAGAGGAAGCCACAGGGAGGAGGAGGGAGCAAGCTTGTTTTCTGCTTCCATGGAGACTAGGACGCAATGGAACAATGGCTTCAAACTACAAGAGAGGATTCCACCTGAACATGAGGAAGAACTTCCTGACTGTGAGAGCCATTCATCCCGTTTAGAATACTGCAACGCTCTCTACATGGGGTTGCCTCTGAAGACTGCCTGGAAGCTGCATCTAGTCCAACGCTCGGCAGCCAGATTACTAACAGGTGCTTGGTACAGGGAGCACACCACTCCGCCGTTACACCAGCTCCACTGGCTGCCAATTAGCTTCCGAGCACAATTCAAAGTGCTGGTATTAACCTATAAAGCCCTAAACGACTCCGGCCCTGTTTACCTCTCCCAATGTATTCTCCCCTATGAACCATCAAGATTATTAAGATCGTCTGGAGAGGCCCTGCTCTCGGTCCCACCGACCTCACAAGTGCATCTGGTGGGGACGAGGGACAGGGCCTTCTCGGTGGTGGCCCCTTGACTCTGGAACTCTCTCCCACCAGAGGTTAGAACCGCCCCAACAATCCTGACATTCAGGAAACAGGTGAAGTCGTGGTTATGGAGACAGGCTTTCGAAGAATGAGACAATGATCTGGATGGAAGACGGTGTATATTCGATTTTAGTATGACGACTGACCACTGTAGTTTTAAATATATGACCTTTTTGAATGTTTTATTGTAATGTGTATTTTGATATTTTACTGATTGTATGTGTTTTTATGGTTGGAAACCGGGCTGAGTCCCTCTTATGAGGTGAGAAGCTCGGTATATAAAACTTTGAAATAAATAAATAAATAAAATTCAGCAGTGGAACTCTCTGCCCTGGTGTGTGGTGGAGGCTCCTTCTTTGGAAGCTTTGAAACAGAGGCTGGATGGCCATCTGTCGGGGGTGCTTTGAATGCAATATTCCTGCTTCTTGGCAGAAGGGGCATTCTGTCGGGGGTGCTTTGAATGCAATATTCCTGCTTCTTGGCAGAATGGGGTTGGACTGGATGATGGCCCACGAAGTCTCTTCCAACTCTAGGATTCTATGAGTTATTCAACCTTGAAGGCTTGGCAAATTTAGATAGGGAGGATCGCTTACAATTCAGGGTTCGCCGTAGTACAAGGCTTGCAAACAAGAGAGAGGTTAGAGGTCAAAGGAATGCTTTCATGCTGGGAAAGTATATTTAGTGAGCTGATTGAAGGCAACCTTTTGTCAGTGCAACTTTGGCGAACACCCTGATAACTTCTTTGGGTTGCCTCGGCTTTTGGGCAATGCTTTTGGCTTTTTGGAACTTTGATTTGGATCTTGGCTTCTTGGGACTCTGTCATGCTGCCGTGGAATCTTGTTTGATCAATGCTTATGGATTATGCTTCATGTTATTTGCCTTTGGACTTTGGAAACTCTGCCTTTGCGTTTGAGACTCCGTTTGGCTATTGAACTTT